TCTCATCTCAACAATCAATGCTAATCCGTAATAATATAGCATAAGAATATTCTAGGCGATTTACACTATTTATATTGTTCAGATTTTACCTGATCTTGTCGTATTCATGATGTTTCGGCAGTTTCACGCTCCGATCATCGTCAGGTGATATTAGTTGGAATTTTGAAACGAACCCATTATTTAGTCCACGGGGATTAGAATATTCTCGTTCCACGTACTATGCCCTTTTCTAGATATCTCACTTTTAAGTTAATTCGCTTTTAGTAACTCAACTCTCCAAGTTTCTGTTCCCCTCTGCTGTGGCCAGTTATTGAACTTACAACTGTTTGGGTCAAGTCTCTGGATTACTTCAACTAACGATTTTATGAACTGGGCACGGCACGTGGAACTAGAAAAGTCAACGCTAATTAAACTGTTCGGCTTGAAATTCCAACATATATCATCTGAAGAAGGCCAGAGAGTACAACGGCTGAAATGTCGTGAATATGACAACAGAGATGATGACAACAGTTCTAGCAATATAAATAATGTAAATATTTATAATACCTTATGTAAGAAATATAGACAGATCCTGAAGAAGGCCGGAATGTAAACAGGCGAAATGTTGTTAACATGACAATAACGACGAGGGCAGCAGTTCGAACAATGTAAATGGTGTAAATATATATATATATATATATATATATATATATATATTGTTTATATAAATATATTGTATATATATTGTATATATATATTGTTTATATATATATATATATATATATATATATATATATATATATATATATATATATAATGCAGAAATAGAGACATATCCTGAAGAAGGCCGGAGCGTAACATGGTCGAAAACGTTGTGAACATGACAATAACGATGAGGACAATAGTTCGAATAATGTAAATAGTGTAAATAATTAAATACCTAGGTGTTTGGGAAGTTGCAACCGTAATAACGTATGCCCATCTTCTCTACACGTAAGTCAACAATCTGCCACGGGATGGCATGCCACTAGCATTTAGCACTGGTGGCCCGCAGTCGGGCCGCAGGCGTGTTCCTCTCGGCAATGTTATCACTGGCGGATTGCTAGAGGCCCACCGGTATCTACGACCAGAGCCACTAGAGGCTTGCGTGCAGGCTTTTATGTACAGTGTCCCTTTCAGATAACTGCTCTCTGCAAAGTCCTTTTTTGCATAACGTTCGCATATGCTAACCTCCTACGAGCCGCATGTCACAAGGTTATTTTTGTATTGTGTCGTGTTGTACATAGTAGCTAAGGACAAAATGGGATCTGTCCACGCAGTTAGGGTCATGTTTGTCCGACCCGATTACCATTCCTCTTTAGTTCAAAGTGGGCGGGGTTTTGCCTCAAGGTTGGAGCCTCCTAGACGACTCCCTCCCATCGAGATTGGAGATTGGCATAAAAGGTACATGCAAAGTAATTTTATTATACTATTGTTCACTTAATACAAAGCACAAGAACCATTCGAAGTATAGAGTAACGGAATGTGGAGGAGGTAAGAAGTGAATCGAAGTATGTAGGATGAATAATGGTTGATCCTAGACTTGAAGTTGTTCACATTTTAATAGTCGGGTAAGCATCCTCTTGGAAGTCCATTTCGCAAAGCCGTGAAGAATTTATATTCAAAACATAACTTAGATATCTTATTTTCTCTCTATTTTAAATGGAACCTACTTATATCTTTTTGTATGTATTTAAAACTGGTCATGTCACTGGATTGAACTCACACTCTTTGGGTCCTGTCACTGGATCTAACCAACATGGCGCAGTGGATAAAGGCGTTGGTTAGATCCAGTGACAGGACCCAAAGAGTGTGAGTTCAATACTCGGTTAAGGCAGTGGAGAACTTTCAGAGGGAAATTAACAGGAGATAACTGATAACTGACATCCATTAAACATGGCACGTGGATTGGAAAAGTCTACCCCCGTGAGCGAAATAAATAGTTCAGTTCGACATTCCAACCACCTGAAGAAGGCCGTAGTGTACAACGTCCGAAACGTTGTAATAAATATGGCGACAAAGATGAGGACAATAGTCCGAATAATGTAAATAAGGTTTTGTTTTATATCAGAGGAAAAAAGAGTAATAGAGCTCCTGTTTTATATAGGCGCAAAAAAGGGTTAGCAATTACTGATAAATATCGATTAAAAAATAGACATATGCCCTGTTTATATTGTAATTAAAATGCTAGGCACGTGTCTAGTTTATAAACATATTTATAAGGATCCACCCAGAAAGTTTTTTCCTCTGGGGTGGATCTTCAGGGGAGGCGGAACGTATAATAGACCCTGTCATCAGAATAGTTAACGTTATAGTAAGTATTCGTTTGTTTGACTGATTCGCTGAAGGGGAAAATAAATTTTTCGGTACGGGAAAATCGAAAGGTAATTTTGCCACATGATTGAATTCATCTTACACTTTTCGAATGAAACAGGCAGGGAATTTGAATATGTTGTCTTTCACTAGCGGTGTATTCCCCCAAACTGACAGCTTTACATTATCTTTTATTCTTCTGTGCTTCCAACATGTTGAAACTATCGAAGTGTCGTCAATGAATTCAGCGGGACGGAACCGAAACAATTCTTTTGTTATTGAAAAGTATCTTAAGTTAATAAAATGCAGGGTAAACTGCATGAATATACTATATAATAATGATATTATTATATACAAATAAAAGATTTATCGTGAAAAATGACACGAGAAAAGAGGACGGGGGTGGCGTAACTGGTATCAGCATGTCGAGGTTACATTCTGACCGGGTCGCTGGCAATAAAATTTATTTACATTTTCGTATGTTCTCGAAAGTAAAATAGACCGCGGTCTAAAATGCAATATTGTTATTAAAATGTTTTACCTAAACGTGTACGGCTTAAGATAGTAGATCAGGATATATATATATATATATATATATATATATATATATATATATATATATATATATATATATATATATATATATATATAAATAAAATGAAAGAACAGTAAGATATAAAATCCGGTGTTCTTATAGATATTTTTATTTTTACAAAATAGTGCTCAATGTAAATTTATAGAGCATTAATATTATAAATTAATTGATTTTCAAGTAGAATATTCTGTGACCATGGAAACGTGATTTTAGCTGTGTCTTTAAAACCCGGTTACTCCAAAATTCGCTTGAAGATGAAATGGAACTAATGCTTTTAATTTAATTGCAAAATTAAATTCGGGGTTTTTAGCTTCTATTTTTGAAACATGGTTGGAAGTGTGTAGCGAAAAAAACCCATATTTTAAATCAATTAATTTATATATATATATATATATATATATATATATATATATATATATATATATATATATATACAGTGTAACCTGGATATAAGAGAGTTGTCGGGACCGGAGAAGAAGTCTCTTATATCCAGGTTTCTCTTATATCTGGTTTTGGTCTATTTTATATACATCAACACAGGCTCTAATTTGGGACCAGAGAAAACATCTCTTATATCCGGGTTACACTGTATATATATATATATATATATATATATATATATATATATATATATATATATATATATATATACTTTGAATATACACACTTTAGCGTTAGAGAGCGTCGTCAGTGATGTTCTGAATTGGGTAGTTTCGGCTCTTTCAAACATCATACTACCCCATCAGACCTGATCAGTCGCTGATGCCCCACCACCCACCATGCCAAATTAACACTCTGCAGACACTGACTTATATTAGGCAAATCATACCCCTCTATCACGCATTTGACTGGAAGTTGACCAACAGCCAATCGCAATGGTGTGAGCTCTATTTAAGTTGTTTACGCGGGATTTTTTTTACTTTTTCTTTTCTTTTATGTGGATACTCAGAAGGTAATTATGTTTTTCAGGATTTTTTTTTTTAATTATTTTTTTACTTTTTTTTTTCATCCTCTCTCAAGTTTCCTCTCCCAGCAGATTATATATATATATATATATATATATATATATATATATATATATATATATATATATATATATATGTCTGTTATCGAACTCCTATAGTTTTTTTATATGTCGATTACATTATTGTGTTTGTATGTTCTACAATGATCATATTTAAACACACACACACACACGCACACACACACACACACACACACACATAAACTTACCAGACTCCATCCTAAACATACTGTCGCCGCTGGTATATATCAGCAATGACTGTCACTTCTCAGCTTCCTGACTGAGTTTGATATGTGTAGATTACGAGATATATACTTTCCAAAACATGGCAACATCACCAGGCCCCCCAAAAAACAAAAAAAAAAAAAAAAAAATTTACTAAAATATATATATATATATATATATATATCGACGAATAATCAAACTAATAGTAGATCACATCTTGATGTTATTTTCAATTTGCGGCTGTCTTCGCTCTGTTCGACGCCATTTTTATTTTTTCGCATCACTCGTATCTCTTGTCAGTGATTCTCGGCGTGCACTTTCTGTGCTGATCAAATCACAATCTTTCTTATCAAGCAAATATATTTCACATCTATATCTTATTCATAACTTCTTCTTATCGCTGTCATTTCTCACACGACGATGTGTTTAAAGAAGAAACAGCAAACAGAATCTACAATGAAAATAAAGACGAAGGTGTGTGATTATGATAGTAAAAACAGCGGAGAAAAGGAAGGAGAAAATAGAGAAAAAGAAGGTGATGGAAATGTAAATAAAGAAGAAAAAGTGTGAGCACCTAATGGGAAAAAAACACAAGGTCAACACCAATAATAATAATAATAATAATAATAATAATAATAATAATAATAATAAGAAGAAGAAGAAGAAGAAGGAGTGGGTAAAATGATGAATTGGAAGCGGAGAACAAGAAGGAAATAAAAAATTAGAACAACGAAAAAAACAAACAACGATAAGCAATAGAAAAGAAAGAAATAGAGAAAGAGGAACTGGAGAGAAAAAGAAATAAAAATAAAAAAAGAAGAAAAATTAGAGGAGGCTAAGAAAAAGGAAGACAAAATCAAGAAAAACAACGTTTAAGGAAAAAAGAAAAGGAAAGGAAAGGAAAGGAAAAACGTAACTGATTAAAATGAGAAAGTCAAAAAAAAAAGAAAAGAGAATAAAAGTAAAAGTGTAAATGAAAAGGGCTATGTAAATATAAGGAAGAGAAAAGAGTTGCAGACATAAAAGGAAGAGAAAACAAAAGGGAAAGAAAGAGGAAAAGAAGGGAAAAAAGAAGAAAAATAGAAGAGAAAAGAAACGGAAGACTAAAAGGAATTGAAGAAAAAAGACAAAAAGTAAGAGAAGTAGAGAAATAACTAAAAATAGAAAAAAAAACGAAAATAAAAAGTAAGAGACGAAGAAAGGGAAGAGAAATGAAAAGTAAAAGAAAAAAGGAAGAAAAAAAGTAAATGAAGAGGAAAAGGAAGAGAAAAAGAAAAGGAAGACGAAAATCACGAGAAAAAGAAAAAAACATAAAGAAAATGAAGGGAAGAAAAAGGAGAGAAAATAAAAGGAAGAGAAAAAGAAATGCATAACGAAAAGCAAGAGAAGAACGGGGGAGAAAAGAAAAAGGGGGAGAAAAAAGGCAGCCAAGAACAAATAAAAAGTTGAAAAGGATGAGAAAAGAAAAAAAAAAGATGAAAAGGATGTGATAAAGAAAAGCATTCAGGAAAAGAAGAGAAGGAAAATAAAAAGAAGAGGAAAGAAAGCGTTAAAGACGAGAAAAAGAAAAATCGTAAGAAAATGAAGAGCAAAATAAAAGTATGACGGAGAGGAAGCGAAGATGAGTACGGAGAGAAAGGAAAAAAAAGAAAAAGAAAAAAGAAACCGAAAAGAAAGGGTTGAGAAGTAAAGGAGGAGAAAATGAAAGAGAAAAAGAAAAAAAAAAACAAGAAGCCAACATAGGGTGAGAAAGAAATATAGAATTCGACAAATAAATGCTAAAATAAAAGGTTAAAAAAACGAAGGTCATACGGAAGTAGAGGACGATGAAGAAACGATGATGAATTGGAATTGGAATAAACAAATAAACGAATGAAAAGACATGGAGAAAAGGATGAAGAAAACCGGTTCGTGGAATTGGTAATGCTAAATAAAATATTTACGTTATGAATTTGATTGTCTCATACGAAAGTGACGATTTGGCTATTTCAACACTGACTCACAATGACCACACGCAAATAGGCAAACCTACGTCTTTTTTGCTTAACCTTTGCCACCCCCTCAGTCTCGCTCTGTCTGTCTGTCAAAATACAAACACACACACATATATATATATATATATATATAAATATATATATACATACATACATACATATATATATATATATATATATATATATATATATATATATATATATATATATATATATAAAAGACTCGACATTAATATTTGATGGTTATAATTTGAATATTGAATTTTTTTTTAGAAATTGTTGGCCAGATTAATTGGATCGTAACTACGATTATAATGTAATAAATTATGAACATGAAATATAAGTTTTTGAACCTTTTATATTATATTCTTGCTGTATCTTGTGCAGAGAGCTCTACCTGGATTTTATCTTCTTGAATATATATATATATATATATATATATATATATATATATATATATATATATATATATATTGACCAATAATATTCTCTCAGTCTGTCTGTCTCTCTCTCTCTCACTTTCTCTCTCTCTCTTTCTCTCACTTTTTTCTCACTCTTTTCTCTCTCTCTCTATATATATATAATATATCAGTGTTAATATTTATATAGAATATATATATATATATATATATATATATATATATATATATTGTCTGACAATCGCAAATCCAAATAATATATATTGAGCACTTATCTCAGTGATATTGAGCAATTTTATAATCAGTACAAACGCATATAATATATAAATTTTATATAAATAATATATTATAAACATATATATATATATATATATATTTATATTGATATAAATACATATATATATATATATATATATATATATATATATATAAATATATATATATATATATATATATATATATATATATATATATATATATATATATATATATATATATATATATATATATATATGTGTGTGTATGTGTGTGTGTGAAAAGTGTGTATATAAATATAAATAAATATAAGTATGTATAATTATTCATATATTATATGGGTACTTATTATATAGCGCTCAATATCAGAGATAGAGTTATATTTGCTTTGATGATGTGAGTTTAGACCCTGCTTTCACGCTTTTGCGATCGTCAGACAAACAATCGTCTGTCTGACGATCGCAAAAGCGTGAAAGCCAGGGTCACAAACTCACATCAATCCAACCAAATATATATATATATATATATATATATATATATATATATATATATATTATATTGATACATTGAACACTCTATCACTTTTTAAGACTGCAGAAACGTTGAAAAGAAAATGGCTATTTTTGTAGTTATTTTATAACATATTTATAATTTTTGAATAAATTATATATATATATATATATATATATATATATATATATATTAATCATTTCAACCCATAAAAGGCCTCTAGGACTAAGGGGCGCAGAGAGTGAAAGTGAGAGAAAAAACTGGGTTTAGGAGAGGGTCTGGGGAAGGATAAAAGATGAAGGTGGTTCTAGACAAGCGAATGACGTATTTAAATTTTTGAAGATCGCATTTCCCAGCGAAACCAGTAACCCTAAGGGAGTTTCACGTGCGAGAAGTACGAGAAACTGTTGGAATAGAAGTGTCAGTTACATTTAACTATTTCAACAGTAAAAGTTTGGGGCCTAAATGTCAATCTAGTAGCACGCTTAAAATCAAATTCGTCAGAGCAGTTGTCATGAAATCGTTTGACATGTTTCGTTCTTTTAGGACTCATTGGATTAAATTTGTTTGTTTGGTTTGACTACACATGCGCACGAACAACATATGTTGGGAATTTTAATTTATACAAATACACACACACACACACATACACACACACACATATATAATCTAGCCGACATCATTTAGATTCTTTTTCTTTTTCTTTCCATCGCTTTTGTTATTGGATATGCCACACTTTGATAATGAAAGATCAACCAGGAATCGTTAAATGTGATAAGTGCCAGGGCGCAAATTTACTGTGGATGACCTTCCGATCAAGGCACTCTCTAAACATTATCGACTTTGTGAATTATTTTCTTTTTGATAAGAGTAGCATTTTTCAAAATTATGACCAGTCTAATTACGGTGAGCAACTAATACATTTAATGTAACGTTTTGTAAAATTTCCCTTTTCTGTTCATATAATATTTTATTGAGATTCCTTGGGGTTAGTCCTATGTATCTTTTTGTGACAATTATTACAGTTGATCGAGTAGATACCTCTATGAAGTTTGAGCTTATTGTTTTCTTTTGTATTGACTATGTTCGGCCCGGTTCATTTTGCTTTACGGCATATCAACCTGAATGGGTCATTTAATGCCGACAAAATTTTTATTTTGTCGGCATTAAATGACCCATTCAGTTTGATATACACGGACAAGACAGTGATGATAGTCTGTTTCTATTTTCATGGAAAATCGCACCGCAGCTCATGACGTCACACATGAGAGTGAATTCGACAAGTATTAAGTATGGGAATCCGTTGGTATAAACCAATGGCTACTGTTACCAATTATAGGCATTTAAGAACATTTGTGGAGATTTCTAAGTTTATTTTGTTTAGGTTAGGTTTCAACTGTTTTATGTATATAGCTTTAAGAATTTTTTGTTTTTGTTTATTGTTTTCATGTTTAAGTATAATGTATTTATCAGTTTTGTTAGGAAGAGTAATAGTACCTTTGTATAATGTATTCAGCTTTTTTATGATTTTAAACCGGTGTTGATCTTCAGATTTGTTGGCAATTTCCGTGAGTCTATGTGTAATTTCCTCCAGTGGGTCCGGGGTACTTATATCCTTTAGTTTATCGTAGATGTCCTGTTTGTTGATGTGTAATAAAAACCAAGACAACCACACGTTTGGAATTTTACTAACGGATAAAATTAAAATTGTTCAATTTTTCTTTATGATTGACAAGGTATTTAAACGCCAAAAATTTCAAAGAATAAAAAGCTCGTTATAGCATCATTCCTGCAACCATGAACTGCATTATTCGAACAGTTGCATGAAAAGGCCAATATTGTGTTTATAATAATTGCCATTATGTCATCCTTTAGTGATGTTCTCTATCTGTTCTTTTGACAGTGATAATCATTTGTGATCTTAGAGCAACCTACAATTTTAGCGGATCACACAACCAGGCAAGGAAATATGGAATTTTAATGATCTGTTTAAGTTAATATTCATCTCGATGTTTTATATAAATTCATTCATATGTACAGGATTTAACGGCTTATAAGGCGAACTTCTTTCTTAAACAGAAACTATAATATGGAATTGAATTGAAAGCAGTGATGGAATATACCCTGAAGCCACCATAAATATTTAGCATGTTGCATTATTAAATACTGAACACTTCAAATACCTTGGCGTATCGATCAGAAGAAATTTATTATACGAAATAAAGATATTGGTTATAGAATTGGTTGTGCAAGGGGTAGGTTGAGCCAACACAGCTAGTTGTTAAAAAGCAAAAATATTCTCTGAAATCCTCAAGTCAGGTTCTTACATACGAATGCCGTTAAACCTGTTAAGAAATATCTAAACTCCTCGCTGTTTACAACCGCTTTCTCTATGGTTAAAGATGGCGAATAAAGGCTGTAGAGTTAGCGAGGTGTATACTTCTTTGAATCTCGTAGACTAGGGCTACAGGATAACATAACAACGTGATCCACCAAATGACAGAAAACCATATCAATTAAAAACATTCAAAACAGGTATGACATAATCAAGAAGTCAATGTTCCAAACCAATTAAAACAAAAGGCTTCTATGAATGCCAGGAAGATGGGTTAATATTTACTGGATTTGAGATACCTATTTTAATAGAAAATTTTTTTAGTAGAACAGTCTTATAAATATCAACCTGAGAGTGGCAACAGCTTTCTTCCTTAATGAATACAGAATGTTTACTTATCTAAACAGTTAATAACTTGGACCAATTTTAAATGTGAATTAGGTTTAAGCGTCTATTTTTTCTTCTTTTTCTTTCAGATATGGCGGACAATTGGGCGATATTATTTTTCACACATAATTTCCATGACTTAAATAACATGAAAGAATAAATAAATTTTCACAAATAAAAGAGATTTATTTACTGCTGATTTTGATCCGTCTTAATGAAACACCCTTATATATAATCCATCTTAATGAAACACCCTTTATTATTATCACTAGAACCACTTTAAAACAATGAGAAAAAATGATTAATCTTGTCTTGTTTCTAAATTCAAAGACCATCGCGTGTTTCCTACGACGTCGCTGATTGATTAATATATGTGAATATAGAAATTAAAATTTGGTGCGGACAAACTAGGGCACTTGATGAGGAAATAGATTATCGCGGGATAGATTGAAGGCGAGAAGAATAGAGGAAAACAACGCATAACATAGTGTGTTTCACTAAGTGGATGGCGGAATGATGTTTAAGAAGAATAACAGAAAGACAACATTTATTAACAGCTTCAAAGAACAGGAAATTGTGCAAAGCCATAATCGCCTTCGCCCT